ATGGCTGGGGGGGGTGGAGGGAAAGAAACACACACGGGGAATGGGGGAGAGAAATAGACACACAAAATGGTTAAGAGGGAGAAAGAGCCACACAAATGGGGCTGGAGGAAAGGCCACACAAAGGGGTTGGGGGGAGAGGGGGTGGGGGAGAATGACAAACACAAAGGTGCTAGGGGGGGAGAATGAGAAACACAAATGTGCTGGAGGGGAGAATGAGCAACACAAAGGGGCTGGGCAGAATAAGAGACATACAAAGGGGTTGGGGAAGTAAGATATACACAAAGGGAACAGAGTTTTGCCTATCTACTGAATTCTATTCTGAAGTCTCATAGCTAAGGACATGGTCTAAGTTGCTTCAAGACAAGCTTTAAAGTTACACTCCTGAGGTGCAGACTAATTTTCCTAGGTTTGGAGAAGAGCTTAGTCCCTTCTCCAAACCTTTTTGTTTGTCAAATTATGTATTGTCTCTTAGACATATTATACTTTTGTCTTTTTACTTGTTTCAGTGGTACCCATGTACATCTCTGTGGAATGTGATGTTGCTTTATAAATAAAGTATAATAGTAATGATAACTTTCTCTGTATTCGCTGCTCTCCAAAAGCGTACACATACACAGACTGACAGATACACTGACAGACACACTGACAGACACACACACACAGACACACACACACACACACACACACACACTGACAGACAGACACATTGACACACACATACTCACTGACAGACACACACACACACATACAGAGACACACACACACTGACAGACAAACACACACTGACAGACAGACACACACACACACTGACAGACACACTTTTATTTATTGCTTCTTACCTTTAGGAGCCGAAGTGGGGCATCTCCCTGGGGGCCTTCCTGCTCCTCACTGCTCCCTTGCGCGGTTAAGTGATGCCGGGTGCCGCAATAGGACGTCATATTCACGTCAGACGGCGCGAGGGAGCAGTGAGGAGCAGGCACACTGAGCTCCCTCGCTGGCTGCCAGGCACCTCTCCTCCCCAGCCAGGTAAATGTTAGCAGGGTAGGCACCTGCAATATGGGGAAAGCAGGTGCCTACTCTGCTATTACATCAGCATGTACTCGCAGCTCGCCATGCTGCAAAGATGGTCCTTGTGGGCCGCATGCGGCCCATGGGCCGCAAGTTTGACATGCTTGACGTAGGCTATATCCCCATTAAAACCAGAACCGCAGCGGCTGGCGTCTCTAGGAACGCCGCACACGCTGGGGTCCGGGACGGAAGGAGGTCGGGTAGTGGTCTGCTGCGAGCAATTTAAGTATTTAGTATTGCTTTCGGCATGACCGCTGTGTTTCTGTGCAGCCACGCCGACAGAATCCTGCGGAACCGTGACAATTGCTACCTTGCAGTGTCACAGCATATAACTGTAGAGCAGGGTTGGGATCATATGGATATCTAAGTTATCTAGTCACTTTGTCAACAGTACAACAGTAGACAATTATTCATAAAATGTAGTGAGTTGGTGTCATAAATTTTAGCTCAATATAGCTGTTTTGAAAATAAAAAATCTTCAACTCACGCAGGTTTGACATTTATTTCCAGCGAAAAGTTTTTGACACATAATTGATCAATTCACTACAAATCCCTGTTTAGCGAATAAGGCCCTTTCATGTTTCTCTGTACATTCTAACTTTAGCCGGCCCCAGCCAAAGTCTCTAATTGCTCATCTTTCAGTAGACTCATCTAAGTCAGTCAATGGTGCACAAGGCTGTAATTTGTAGTTCTGGAGCCTCTCTGCAGCATGCTAATTACCCCATCCGTCTTCAAAGGCCCAAGAGCCGCAGGGCTGGAATGACAGGATGGGTATGTCTTGTCCTTAGTGCATTGAACTGTCTCTTACCTTGCTCTAGGTAGCCAGTTCCAGCGACATGAGTGGACGCGCAAGGAACGAAAGCTGAGAAGAGTACAAATCTCAAGACAATTCAGGTCGATTAGGATCCTGTTTTGAAGTAAAATATTATCTTCCATCCTATAATTAAATGCAACCTGTCTCCTGTTTGAGGTGTCTGAATTATAAAAACATTCTGTTTAACCCTTCCAAACTCACAAACTTTTAATACTGACCCTCATTCGATACAGTAATTAAAACAGCAAGTTTTACCTGAGTGAATGAATTACATTAAAACTATTGCATGATTTGTATGGAGGAGAGGGCTGGTATCTTTTTGATTGGGGTGGGGGCAAGTACAAGTGCCCCAACAGATCAACCTACTGTACCAACCCACCTCATTTATATGAGCCTAAGCATCATATAGGTGCATATTAACCCACACAATTCTGGACTGGCAATTTTGACCCTGTACCAGTCCTGCCTGATGAGTATATCCTGACATACTGTGCCAAAACAAAACGAATAATTCTGAATAATCCTCAGAGTGAGTGAATCTGCCAATTACCTTCCAGCATTGCCCAACTACATGTCCATACATAGCTCTACTATGTTAATACACGTATGTGTAAATATAACTTGTTCATAAAATAAAATAGGTTTATTTTTAGCATGACTAGCATCTATGAGTTTGAAGCTGATGAGAATTATGTAAATATTTGGTAGGCTTGGACATCGGTTTTCGAGTTTCATACCATTTGATCATTTATAAGTGAGCTTAGAGAGATATCTCCTGAACTAAGCCTGAAAAAAAACTATATGAGGGTCAATATGACCCCCATCTTATTATAAATTATAATTATACCCATGCCATGGGTTAGGTCATGTCTAAACAGTGAGCATCCACTTGCTGCTGGTTGGCTAGCGATTGCTGCCCAGTCATTAATTCAATAAATGACAAAGGTCCTCAGTCCCCACGGTGGGCCTACATATAAATAATAAAGCAGGCGTGACACGATGTGGCCAGCGTATCGGAGCTATTAAGTAAAGTGAATGGGGTGCGGGGGGGCTTTATTTAACATCCCCCAACCACTGGCCACTGGGGAAAGGACACTATTCCCCTTGGTTTATTATTTATTTAAAGCCCAACCATATGGGCTGGGTGACCTCTGTTAGGTCCACTTTATTGTATTAGTGACTGGGCAGCAATAGCCGCCCAGTCACTGGCTGCCACTGGTATAGCAGACATGACCCAGCCCACAGCACAACAGGTAGTGAGAGAAAGGTTAAAAATGAAATCAGGTTGTCCGAATTTCATTTGCAACGAAAATGTGCAAACAAAACTCTGATGAACAGAAACAAAACATGGACAAAATTTAATTTTGACAAGTAGGTTTTCATTTTCTGATGAATATACTTGTATGAACTGAAATTCCTGTACGTGCACAACTCTAATATTTAGCTACCGGAAGCTCATATTAATTTGTTTGCGCTTTTAATGAATTCCTATCTGTCCATCCACAGAGTGTTTGTGCTGGTTAGGTTATATCGGTGGAGACTGGTCCATGGTGGCAGCTGGGGCGGTGCTCCCCCAAGTTTTGTTGGGAAAAAATATATATGTATCAGCATTGTAAGGAGTACTGATAAGAGTGCCAGGGTTATTTACTGAAGTGAAAATTCAAAGTGACTTTCAAATTTAAGGTGAAAATAGCCAAACTGGAAAATGTTTCTAATTCAGTAATGCTCCCAGTTCAAACACTTTGACCTTAAATTCGAAATTTACTTTGAATTCACTTTGAATTCTCACCTTAGTGAATAACCCTGTGTTATGCAAAAGGCATGTCTGTTGTTATTAAATCTGCAGTTTCCATTCTCCTTTTTATTGTTGGGTTAAGATGCAGCTGGTTTTGAACAAGACATGGCATCTCCTCGGGTTAAGTGGGTAGAGTCCACCAATTCACAGTTAACATTGCCCCACCATCTTTAAACTTCACCAGCCACCACTGGGCACTGGGTTATAGACACCTTTGAACATGTATTTTCCAAAGCATTTGCAAATATTAGTTTAGAAGAAAAAATTGCAGAATGTGTGTGTGTGACCTTCATATTTTCTCTTACCTCCTGCTATTCATCTGGCTGAGCCATGTACAGCACCAATACAGTGAACAGTGATACGATTAATTTGTGATGCAGATGAACTTGGAGGCCTGAAAAAAAAAAAATTCCTCCACCAGTTAAAGGACCACTCTAGGCACCCAGACCACTTCAGCTTAATGAAATGGTCTAGGTGCCAGGTCCTTCTAGGGTTAACCCATTTTTTAATAAACATAGCAGTTTCAGAGAAACTGCTATGTTTATCAATGGGTTAAGCCTTCCCCCTAATCCTTTAGTGGCTGTCTCATTGACAGCCACTAGAGGCGCTTGCGTGCTTCTCACTGTGATTTTCACAGTGAGAGCACATCCATAGAAAGCATTGAATGCTTTCCTATGTGACAATGAGCTCTTGCGCGTGCGCATTCAGCCGACGGGGCGATCGGAGGAGGAGAGAAGGAGGAGAGCTCTCCGCCCAGCGCTGGAAAAAGGTAAGTTTTACCCCCTCTCCCCCTTCCAGAGCCGGGCGGGAGGGGGTCCCTGAGGGTGGGGGCACCCTCAGGGCACTATAGTGCCAGGAAAACGAGTATGTTTTCCTGGCACTATAGTGGTCCTTTAAGGAACAATGCAGGAGCATAGGAGAATACTGAAAATTGTTGTGATGTATTTAAATTCAAGGTAAGAAAATCATGGTAACACTACCTCCTTGCAATCATGATCCAGTCATGTAAAACAACAAGCAACAGAAATACAATAATTACATGTTGCTTTTAAGATAAAAATATATTTCTTGTTTAATTCAGTTATAAAAGATATAAGATAATATTTTTCATAAATCCTGCTGCAGCTTTGACAGGGTCTGACTGGTGTGTTAATTGATAATTTATTCTCAATCGTGGCCCACAAAGATCACAGGAACACTGTATCAGCAGAAATAAACACAGCTACAGAGAACTAAAGTACGTTTAGGTTATTAGGTGTCAACATGACATTTTTATTATTTTTTCTATTTTTTGATACTTAGAACTTTGCACTAATAAAACACCTTGTGTTTAGTAAGAGTACTTACTGAAAGCCTAATAACAGCCTGTATTCTAAGGAGATAATTATATTGTATTGTTTGAAATTCTAGATGCGTAACAACAACATCCTTCTATGTAAAATTATAAGTTCCCAGAAATCAATCCCTGGTTCCATCAAGCATTATATATGAGTCAACTATACTTCTTAGTGAATAGTTTGAATAGATGTGAATAAGTGTGGGGTTCGGTTAAAACTGTGTATGTGGTTGATTATAACTAAAGGTGGAATGTAGTCTGTGCTATTTATAGATGGTGTTAAATGAGATGGGATTAAATAAGTACAAAGGGTTTAGGATCTCACAAAAATAATTTTCTTCTGGGTGGATATATATGTTACTTCTTTATGGTATTTAAATTAGTTTAAGATAAAACTATATATTCATAAAAAACATGTATTGAGTGCTATTTCCATTATTCCATCCCATTCAACCTACTTTTTCCTCTTCCATATAATAATACATTTTTTACAAACCCTTTTCTCTCCAAAGAGTATCTGAAAGCACACACATGAAAATCAAAAAATGTCATTGGCACTAACATAGTGAAGTCCATTTTGTTAATTATTTGAAAAATTACTATTAATTCAACTCTGGCAGGAATGGCAGAAACCTGAGGTTCGTGCATATTTTAGACTTGATACAGTAAATGTACGTGTCTCACCTGAAATCTGATGTTAGTATTAGGGCGTAAAGACTCTGATGTTACAGGTGCTCTTCTAAGGAAAGGTGAAAGTGACAGCAGTTTGCAAAATGGTTAGTCTGTAGAATATTACATTTAGAAAGGCCCCAATAAATAAATGTAACCCCTATTCTGCAAATCATATTTATTTTTCTAGGAACTTCACATGCTTGATTGCTGTATTTTCTCAATAAAAAATAAAATGTAAAACTAATTCTTAAAAATAGAATAAAAAACTTATATTGAGTCTTTTTAAATAACGATCTCTGTACATTATGCATTTAGAATCCTAGTTTTCATCTCAACTTTTTTGAATGAGTATTTCTGCTTAGTCCTTTTATCTGTTAGAATATACCACGTTCCCCAATAAATGCCACTGGTTACCCCACTGTACCGGCCTTTGTGGTACTTCCCGTTCAAATTAGCAGCCAGGCAGGTGTCAAACCACCACCCAGAGCCATAATAAGTGCCACAGTTTCCTGACGGGTAATTGTCATTATCAATGTCATATGTTGTAAAATGCTTGTGGTCATGGTTGTAATTTCGGCTGTAGCTCAGGGCATTGCCAGCATTTCCCTGGTACTCTCTGGCTGTCAGTCTGTACTTGTTTTGCTCGCTGGCCACTTTGAATTTTCGGTAAATGGCGTGTCTTTTCACACCGTACCAATCTTCAAGTTCAATACGCAAAGTGTGTTGACCAAGTCTTGTGAGGCTGTGTAAGTTCTCATTCCCAAGCCAATGTTCCCCTTGAAGGCTACCAAAACCCTGCTTATATTCTTGCCATGTACGGTTGAAATCTACAGAACCATCTTGCCTTCTTTGGAAGACAGTCCAACCACCACCATCTGTAACCATGTCACAGTACGCCTGGAAAACAAACAAACCATACAATGAATGTATTGAACAGTATCCATTCTAAGACATCTAGAAACCATAGTTAAAACACATACAGCAACATTCACAAACAATAAAATTGGTGTATTTAAAATTAGTAAAGCTAAGAGTTCCAATATTTGTATTTTATTAACATATTTATTGAGAACAAAATTAATATACAATTACTGTTCAAGTTTGTACATAGGCAATAGTCCAAGCAGATGTGAATAAAACATGTTGTCAGTATATCAGCATTCACGGACATTTACCAACATTCACTGACATTACAGGTGGCCAGTAACATCTATTGTGATATCATTTTAAAACCAGTGTTATAGTAAAGAGAATTCTATAAATATGTGTAAATTTTTCAGGAAATTCAGTTTAGACATTGTCAGGGAAGACTTACACAAGAAGAGAAACATGGCTATATAAACACACTGATTATATTTTTGTTAGAAATCACAATAATGAATAAACATTTTTTTTTTAGAGCTTTTCTCCATTCTGTCTACAGATACACATTTAAGAATAAAGGTAATATTAATTAAATAGTGTACTGACTGCACAATGTTTATAATAGTCACAATAATTCAGCAGGTATCACAGGATGGTGTCTGTAAATATGTATGTACCTCAAATGGTGACTTTACAGGGATGGGTTGTATGGTATAGATCCCGTTGTCCCGGATTCCTTGTTTGTGGATCTCAGCACAGTCTCGTGGGAATAGCCGTTCTGGCTTTTCTGAAGTGGCGACTTCCAGTAGACACAAAAACAGATAATAGTAAAATACATTTATTTAGAAATATGAGGGAGATTTACCAAAGTATCATTATCTGAAAATTGGTGGAAAGTTGTATAGGTGCGCTAATGACCGATAGTATGTACCTGCTATAGGACATTTGTCATCAAATTTTCCCTTCTTGTTTTTAAAAAGTTGATTACATATAATGAAACTTAATGATTTAAAAAAAAAAAGATATTAATTATTATTATTTTTTAGAATATTGTACTTTTTTTTATCTGTCTGAGCAGTTACGCAGTAGGGACATCTAAGTTGAAGCAGGGGAAACTACATGCAAAAAGACGAAAACAATGAATCTGTCAATTTGAGAACAGTTAGTTTATTGCTGTTGCTTGTTTATAAATAAACCATATTAAGAAGAAAAAAAATGTGCATTAACTGTTTAATGTATGGTATGCAATTCAAAGCATGTAACAAGCATTTAACACTAACACTGAGGGATGAGATTTTGGACATTAGAAACACACACCTTTTCATAAGGCTCTCACCTGGCGAACCTGTGTTAGCAAATCCCCTCAGAGTCAACGGCGGATCTTCCTTTGTTTCGAGGGTCTTTAGGTGTCGACTTTCTACAATAAAGACTTGTTGAGTAAATGAAGAAAGAAGGACATTGGATGATTGTGTTATTAAGGTATACAAAATCTGAAGCAGGCAAATGGAATTACTTGGCAAGAAATAGGCAACACAATAATTGGACATAAAAACTTGAAACAAGAAGATCTTCCCTCCACTCCCTAGAATAAACTGGGGCGGTCCCTCACCTACAAGTATTCTGGAAATTGTGGAGGCCCCCACAAACAAATACATCTTTAAACACTCTATGAATAACCTTAATTGGGTTATCTAATCTCCAACAGAGGTTTCATGTGTGAGGGTGCAATTATGTGGTCCATCTGTCTTGCTTTCTAACTCAGATCTATGTGGATTGGTCACTGAGAGCACAAGTCTGTAAAATCATATTCTGCCACCCTCAGAGATTAAAAGTATGGTTGGTGAGCATAGCAAGACAGTACTCATAAAGCGACCAAAGGTGGCTATGATGAAGCCCCTCCAACTCCGATTGAGTACTTCTGCCAAGTCGGCTTCCTAATTGCTTTTAGGAACCCTGGATGTTTCTGCCCCAAGCACCATAGCTTGCTTGGGGTAGCTGACAAATGCTACCAGGCTGCAGCTCTCTCTATCAATGCAGGTATCGTCCTCTCTGCCTTTGCCTGTTGCTGTTCATTTTCCAGGCAGGGTTCCACACCTCTGCCTGCACTGTGATAAACTACTGCCTTTACAAAGGCACTTGCGGCTCTCAGGCCTTTCTCTTTTTAACTTGTTCAGGGATCCAGAGACCAAGCAGCCAGCCAACAGGTTCAAAGACTCTGTTACTGGGGTTCCTGAATAAACAAACCAGTACACGCATGTCCAGATGGACTTAACACACACAACTTTATTTTTACTCAGGGACTAGCCAATATGTACATTGCATCAAATTTACAGTGACAAAGTCAAGCTAACACAAATAACTAAATTATATGGGAAAATATACAGGAACTCATAATAACACATTAACTTATTTTCAAAGGGGTGTGGAAGAAAATAATTAACAAGAAATATCTCCCCTCCCTGCAGGAACCATAATATGCAAATCTACCTGAATATGCAAATTACTGGTTCTTGCCATTCAGGTAGTGCACATAACAGTTGCTATAAACAGATGGCGCTGTACAGACTCTACAGCCAAATCCACCTAGTTGGTAGAAAGCATCAGCAGGACAGGAGAGCACACAAAACATTTAATACATATACACCCTGCACCTATAATGGGTACAGAGTGACTTAAACATAAGAGAAATCTGGTAAATCACAAAAGTTGTAAAAGACGCACAAACAGACAGTTCCATAACTGCCAACAGCACACACAGTCACATATAATCCCAGCCCAAGGAGTATCAACTCTGGGGAAATGGAGGCGGCCAACAGTTACTTAAATAGCTGCCAGAGAGATGGGCAGAGTGATGCCAGTGATGGCTTCCTAGGATTCAAGAACTAGGCAGCAGTAAGGCACCCACACTTAATGTTCTTCTCTCTCCAGGTGGCTGACAGTGACTTGTGGAATGGTGGCGCATGAGCTCCCTTCTCTCTGTTATTTGGATTATTTAGGGAATAAGCAGGAACCACCTTTAAAATTGGTCATAATTTACCAATTTTTTGTGTTTCTATGGCCATGGCTTAAGTGCACCATTGACCATATTACTGACAGCAGGTTTTCCAGTATCACAAATGGCATATCACCTCCGAATGGCAAGCAGCATGGTGGTAGGAATGACTTTAAGCAAGCAGACACAGAGACAGCCTGCGCGGCATTGATTGCCAATGACTGTGGGACTCCGAGCTGTGGCAAACAGGTTAACATTGTTGGCCATATTATGGCAAATTGGTTTATTATTAGTTATTATCAGTTTATTATTGAACCAGGAAAATTACATCTTGTTTTCTCTAGGCTATTGCACCTCGGAATATTAAAGCTTGCTGGCAGCTGTACCTGCAACCTTGTGATTTGGAAAAGTACAGAATAGTATTTGTTGTAACATTGCTTGTAATGTTCCATATAACGTGTGAACTGGGATATTATTTATATGAATTAAGACTGGCAAAGGATCATTAGTATTTGGTTCTCAACATATTTGTATCTACTTTTTGACCATTCCGTAGTATAAATGATACTCATCTCAATTATAGGAACAGTATAGCGATAGGAATACAAATATTTATTTCTATCACGATAGTGCTCTAGGCACCGTTTAAGTGATCAGGCCAGCACTGCCAGGGTCAAAAAAGGGGATTTATATGAATTTTCAATTTTTTCCCTCGCTGTGCTAGTGTGCTCTGTGTATCTCTCAACCAATCTAATGCTTTCTATTGGAAAGCATTGTGAGGTTAGTTCGCATACACAGCAGAATGCCGCACTGACAAATCAGATGGTCTGCTATCATCATGACATTCAATACAGGCAGGTTAATCCAGCAATGTAAACATTGACATTCCTGCAATGTTTTCAACTGCAGAGTTAAAAGGGGGGCACGTGGCCCCTATTTCACTTCATTGAGATGAAGTCGTCTGGGTGCCTATAGTGTCCCTTTAAGTTGTTATGGTGCCTGTAGATCCTCCTCCCATCCAGCTGTAAACCAAAGGTGGGCAGCCTGTAAAATGTTTTGAAGGATCTGATATACTATAGAAATACTCCTGTCTCAGTGTTCACCTAACAAGCATAGCTGTTCAAAACCGGTTGGGTCCTTGTGAAGGTTGTTTTTCGGGGACAGCGACTTTTAATGATGTCTCAACTGATAATACATAAAGAGAATGAGCAGGGATAGCACTTCTCCCTCTGCAAGTGTCAGGAGCAGCAGCAAGGTCTCTTCTGCACACACATCCATAGTTTCCTCACTTGTAACAGTCTCCTAAGCCTCCCTTCGGGATCCTCAGGGTAAACTACCAACAAGGGACCTGGAAAAATCATCCATCCTAATTTGCAAGGGAGTGTTTGCAACACCCTAAGAGTCACTCCAATTGAGGGGTGAGCCCTGAGGTCCAGTGGCCATTGTCTGCAATCTAGCTTGACCATTTCTGTCAAGGTGTCCCCTGATATCTCCATTTCCAGCTAAAGCCTTCCAGGTCGTAATTCACATCTGTGCCAGTCAGTCTCCCTAGATGTATGGCTTGATATTTGAATGAGTATAGTCTGGAAAATGTACAGGAACCTGGGCAGGACATTCATTTTATGGGCATTCATTCACCCAAACCATGAGATAAAATTACCATGAAAATAGTTCTGGAGTAGACAAAAGAAGTTAAAAGTGTATGGTTGGGACAAATACCTTGGCTCCCATTTCCCCAGTTATCTTGGCTTGTCTATACTGCTGTACACCATTAAAATAGGAAAAGATCTCCTTGGGTCTCAGACTCCTGAGCAGTGATGGACTCATTCAACACCCCTCGATTTATCCATGTTCAAATTAAAGTTGGAGATTGCACTAAACTCATTGAAAGTGCCCAAGATATTTGGAAGCATTATCCAAGCTTGCACAATAAAAAATAATAAATTCTCAGCGTCAGCTATGACTTTATGCATCTGTCCCTCAACCCAGGGAAGACCGAGATCCCATCCCTCTGACGGGTCGCCTCCAGGAAAAGCTGTAGTGATAATATAAAAGGGAGTGGGGACGACGACAACACCAGCACCCCATAGAGAGAATCAATCAAGGTAGATTAGGTTATAGATTAAAGTGGAAGTTTTGCCATAAACACAGCACTGCGACATACAGTACATGTCTGAGATTAGTGTGCGTTATAGTCGTGGGCAGTAGCTATTTCAATTGTCTACATTAAAATGGGGACTATACCACTCAGGAGTGTAACTCCCACTAGTTTTCAGCTGACTAGGACATGTGCATCCCAAAAGTAGTGCCCCAAGACACCATGGAGTTGATCCATACATTATTACCCATTCATTATTGTCGTGCTGAAATAATGTGTGCAGATCATGAAAGTGAGATACAGGGCTATTCACTAGAATGAGAATATAAAGTGAATTCAAGGTGAATTTCAAATTTAAGGTAAAAGTAAGCTGGTCTTGAATTTGAAATTCACTTTGAATTTACTTTGCATTCTCACGTTAGTGAATAGCCCTGGTACATATATCTAGACCAATGCATTTTGAGTTATAATCGTTTAATAAATGGTCATGAAAGAGCAAGTTAGAATTTAGTCAATTGAACAAACTAAAAAGATGTTAAAAGGTGTCACCAAAATGTTAGGAGTATTTGGTGTCTAACAGCACCCATAGGCAATTAGTCAGTTTTTTTCCCTCTCTCTCTAAAAATCTTTAAACTGACGATGTGAGCAGACAGCACTGTGTGTTGACAACCCACTATTAATTACTACTTTATTCTATACATCTGCCGCTTTTAATAACTTCCAGCAGCCAGTTGCACAGCACTGAGCCAAAAACAGAGTGAGGATTGTCTCTGGGTTCCGAAAAGAATCGTCCTCTCTTTGTTCAGAGGAGGCGTTGGACGGTCACATCAGAAAGCCAGGGTCGAAATGATTCCAACTTTGAAGGGTGGTAGAGCTCGAAGGGACTTGTCGGAGCATCAAAGATGATATGAAAACATTAAACAAGTGGCGCTTCATCACTTTCTTTTTGTTTATCTTCTTTTTATTCCACATCAGCGGCCAGGGGATGACTTCATTTTAGAATTTTCATTTTTGTTTAGATCCATTAATCATTCTGCTGCTGAGTACCGATCATGATTATTATTGATTTTAGACCAATAAAATGTACAGTGCTGTGCAATTAGAATTTAAAGCACAGCTATCACGTCTCTAAACAGATTAACCATTCAGTGTAGTAGGCGTTTTATATGGGATGCTATATCAGTCATATAGACATAAATTAAAATGTAGTTGTAGTTGTTATGTTACTAGGAGTGCCCTGACGTCATCCTATCTTAAAATGTCAAACTATTTGACAACTTTCGTGGGTCCCACGGCAATCCTGTTGCATCAGCCACATCCGGTCTTCTCCAGCATGAGAAGATGGATTGCTCTGTACAGCAAAGCAGGACAATGCATGGCCATGCTCATTGATTGACAGCATCAGCAGTGTGCTCTCAGCCATTGAGTGTAGCCCTATATTGGCTGTGCTTTACTCCACAGAGTAAGCCTGTTTCTCCTATTAGAGAAGATCGGATGCAGATGATGTAACAAGGGATGCCTTGTTACATCAGAGTTCTGGGCTGCTAAATTTGCATGTGCTTGACATGCAACTAGCCCCCAGCACTGTGCATACAGATTCAGTCACCATGACCTATTCAAACCACTTGGAGTAACAAGTATGGGTATTTTTATTTTTTTCAAGTTGTGTTGAATTTTTTTTTTTTAAAGATGTCAAGTATTTAATTTAATTAAATTTTATTAGATTAATTAGGCACCTGTGGGCAAGGGATTAATACCAATTTAAAGTAACTCTCAGTTTTCCCAAAGCCGAAGATCAACATGTCATTGAAAGTTAAACTTTAATTATTTAATGTTGATTTTCCTCTCTGCTATTGAAATCCAGAGTTCACTGAGCGTTCACAGTAGACTGGAATTCAACAAAAAGGGTTTGCTGAGCAAATACTGCTCCATGATATTCACAATCTAGCTGACACATATCTGTAGCTCTTAATCTAAAACAAAACTTATACATAGCTCATATATCATCTATCCCTCTTCCAGGGACATTCCTGGCACTTTGCATGGCCCCAGGTAAATAAAATATTGTGAGGCTTATTAACTCCCACCTCCACCTTATTTTATGTACCTCTCTGATTCATGCCTCATCCCTGAGCAGGAACTCAATGGTCTGTTGGCAACAATGTTAGGTATGTGCATTTATTTAGTTGCCATTGCCATCGCTCTGTGCCAATGCACTCTGGGTCTTAATAAAAAAGTGAGAAGGGTGTGTACATTATTGATACACATTACAGCCACTTGATCACTGGAATAACAACATAAGTCCCTTAGTACTCCTTGCCAAAAGGTATTGGGGTACAGTTAAAAAAACCCAAGACCCCTGGAGGTACAGGGCTCAGATCTGCTGCTCCCTGCTGTAAGAGAGGCACTTACCTTTCCAATTAGATAGTAAGCTCATGTGCCATATGTGCACACCTGTTTGTGTATGTTTTGTTATTATTCAACTTACTCAACTTATCTAGAGCTGTGGAATTTGTTGACAGCACCGTAGACTTGCTGGGCTCTGCTCAAATGTTATAATGAGGGGTCCTGCTTTGTTTAGCACCATTAACTAATGGATTTATGGATTTAGGAAGCTACATCCAATGAAAGAGATCCAACTCCACCCCTGATGTTGTAACCTTATGACTGCCTATCTTTTAGGGTGTACTGCATCTGATGGCTTCAATCAAAGTCAATAGGAGACATAGGAAAATGTTTTGTTGCACAGCTTATGGCAGTGTCTCCAGCCATCAAAAAGACACCACACACGTAGGTTGGTTTTAATTACCACAAAAATTGGGGGCACGGCCCCACCTGCCACTATGGACAAGCCTCCACTGCTCGCTTCCTCTTACCGAGAGAATGAGCTGCAGAATATGCATGGTTGGAGGATCAGTAGATCGTTGTACAGACTGGCTCACAAAACTCTGAGCTGGGCTGTGAACAGACTGGTAGCATCCAATCCTGGAAATCCTGGATTATTTATTCTAGTCTACACAAAGGCAATTGGACTGTAATGAGTAACGTGAGATTAAAGTGTTATAGGAATTGAAGAAAGGAAATGAGACTGGTGGATGGAGAATCAGGTTAAAATGCTGGTGGGAACATAAATAGATGCAAGTGTGTTGTGAAGAGACACAAGAGACTGAGAAATAGGAATGAAAGTGATTGACATAGAGAGAAACTAAGGAAAAGAAACTGACGTGAAAACGAGATGGAGGAAGGAGAGATGTACACAATAGGGGCACCAAACTAGATTGGTTTTGCCTATGCCTTTCCCTTTTCCTTTCTCTTTTTTCTCTGTAGAACTTATAAAATAACAAATAAAGCACAAAATCATTAGCTGGTTGTGTATACAAAGGGATGTAATGGGTTCAAGGTACATTGCAATTTCCAATCAATGGAAAAATAGTATTCAAATGTACCCTGACCTGTCCAGTTACATTCGAGCTAATGCCTGTACAGCATGGAATATGTCAAAGAGATCCGATACAATCAGATACAAGCAGAGGTGTGTTTTATGCATCTGTTGAGTTAAACATTAGCAGATGGAAATTTGATGAAGACAGAGTGGTCTGGAATTAGCAGAAGGATAAGAAGTGACAAGTCCAGGTTTTAATTCGAGGTCACGCATTTAGAATGGAAGAAAGGAGATTTAGTATAAGGCAAAGGAAAGAGTTTTTTACAGTATTAACAATAAGGATGTGGAATTATCTACCTGAAGAAGTGGTTTTATTAGAGTCTGTGCAGATGTTTAAACAACAATTAGATAAATACTTGCAAAAAAAAAAATATCCAGGGATACCATTTTTAATTTGAGGGGTAATAGCGTCTTGATCCAAAGAGAGATCTGACTGCCATTCTGGGGTGAAGAAGGATTTTTCCCCCTAGTTTGTTGCAAAATTGAAAGTGCTTCATGCTGTTTTGTTTCGTTACCTTCTTTTGGATCAACAGGAAAACAGATATGAGAAAGGCTGAACTCGATGGACACATGTCTCTTTTAAGCTATGTAACTATAACTGAGTACCACTGAAGGAGTCTGAAATATTGGTAGGGAGATTTGAACCACATATTCTTATCTGCAGAAGGCAGAGGAGTCTATAATAAGTAGGGTTGTTGGAAATAAGGTTAGACTCAGCAAACAATAAAAATACTGGCACTTTTGTTTGCACCATTTTATACACACAGGTTTATTTACTAAAGTGAGAATTGTTAGGAAATCATAAAGGATTATTTACTAAAATGAGAATTCTTGGGAATTTAAAGTGAATTTAAATTCAATTTAAAAAATTAGACCAATATAGCCAAACTGGAAGCAGAGCTGACTTGGAGAATTTTCCCAGTTCAGCTATTTTGCCCTTACATTTAAAATTCGGTTTGAATTCATTTTGGATTTCTGCCAGTTCTCCCTTTATGAAATAACCCTGACAGTATAAAGCACTCAACCAGCCAAGGGGTCCACGTCATTGTGAAAGCTTCCCAGCTTTCTCTATACATACTGATATACAACAGTTCAGTAATTTCAGCCTCGGATGTCGATAGAGGAAGATGCTGAGCATTTGACATCAATGAAACAACGCTGGCGGTCCCTCTGAAATCCAGGCAAAGGTCATTAATTATACTGAACATCATTAGGGAGAAAAGATAAAAGGCTCCCCACCTCCGTGTGTGAAAAAGCAGTCCTGGCAGCTGACTGGCCGAGAGCATGGATCTTTTATATAATTTCTATATCCCCACGTCTCTATTATTTGTTACCTATTGTTGGCTGAACAAGGCAACATAGTTTCCTATAAATATTAAACCGCTTTTTTGTGGGCTGGCCTTCACCCATATTTTTCTTGATTGTTGTTTGTTGTTCACACTGCTGTGCAGTACATGAAAAGAGCTGTCATTTCACGTAGCATATGAAGACTACATACTTTAGTACTTCAGCTTATGTTGAAGAGAAAAGTATTCAGCAAAACATTGTGGGTCCATCATTCCTATTTCGAAAACGCATATTCTAGTCCATCTTTAATTAATAAGAAGTCTCAAGGAGGGTTGGGCTTCAAGAACTTTAAACATTCAGCCTACAAAGGGGCCACATGTACTCCCACCACCTAGACTTTATCTTGGGCATTCAACCTAAATGCTGTGTAGCTTTGATTCACTAAGCGGCACCATAGACCTCTGGACTGACTATGCCAATTATGATAGCCTTGCATTTTATCATACTTGGCAACTTTGGTACATAATTGGATCGGGATCCTCAGTTTTCCTCTTTCTGTAGGGACAGGAACATGACTGCCACTGTTAAAAATGCAAAAAAAGCTGGACTCTGCATATCTATAGTTCAGTGGTACACCGAAGGTACATTACAATACATTTCAGAACCACAACTTCCATGATGGTTTGCCATTCTAAAGTCTGGCACAGAATCATAGTAGCGGTAATTCTGCATCTAGGTCTATCTTTTGGGCATCCCTGCTATATAGCTTATATACCATGTTTTTTTCTCCATACGGCTTTTCTGTCAGGAGCCCTCCGACCAAAAATAACACCTTACTAAACAGTAATGTGGAAGGTATTGGAATATAACACCTTGGCATAATGTTTCTATGATTTTCTACATATGCGTCCATGAATCTGTGCTTTACACCTGGGCTTGAATTAAATGTTTTTAGGATTATTGACTTAAGTGAGAATGCAAGGTGAATTCTAAGTGACTTTCAAATTTAAGGCCAGAGTAGGTGAACAAAAAGCATAGCTGACTTAGAGAATTCCTCTAGTTTGGCTGTTGTGAACTTAAAGGGACACTATAAGCACAGAGACTATTTCATCTCATTGAAGTGGTCTTGGTGGGGGTGTACCTGTTTCCTTAACCCTGCAATGTAATACATTTCAGTTTTAGAGAAACTGCAATATTTACATTGCAGTACTAAGACTGCCTCTAGTGGCTGTCTACCATTGAGTCAATGGTTGGGGGGAAGGGTTCTTTAAGTTTAAAATTCACTTTGAATTGACCTTGAATTCTCACTATAGTGAATAACCCTGTTAGTTATGTACCACAATGTGCAGTCTTGTAAGCTTGATTTTTATCAATTTGAAGTCATGAGAACGTTATGGGGAAAAACATATAGCTTAAATTTCTATAATTTACCTTTCAGTGTATTTGCAAAAAGAATTATATTGCATCTAAGTTTTTTAAAAAGCCCATTTGGAAAAGAAAAACACAACAGATTTTACCAGCTTTACCCAAATATGGCCTAACCTAATTTGTTGTTATTATTAGTCTTTAACTTTTCAAGACAATATTTATTCAGTTGAAAAGTATCCACCTGTGGTATCGTTAATACTGCCCAAGTAACCAATATGTTCATATGTCTAACAGGATTTGCCACTGTGCCCCATTGTGTTAATGCAGACCATATTTATGAAGTCTGGTGTATTTCAGTATCAGTCTTGAGTTCACCTTTTCTTCACCTTGTGGCTATCACGCATGATAAATAATGGAGCGAGCTTTATCTCTTGTACACTCGCAGATGTGCAGAAACCATTTTTGAGGCCCATGTATCATCAAGCAATTTTGGATTTTTTAAATACTGATATAAAGCACTATAGTTAGGATTTAAGAGTGAAATAGTATGATAGGTTAACCAATGATGAAGCATCATTTCAACTATGAAAAATTATTCACATCACCAATTCATAAATCAAATTAAGAAAGAGAAACTACTGCCAGAAGCAAAGTCTGGTTATTTGAAAGCAGTAACTATATTAATAATGGAACTGTATTGATACATAATTCATTGAACGCTGTCTGTTCACTTATGGAACTGTTACTAAAAGGCTGTGAACTCAGGTCAGGCTGAGAAATGCAGTGTCATGAGGTACGGTAACCTGCAGTTTTCACAATCCAATTTATCTTACTGTTACACCATCAGGAATACTGAGAGACCCAACACGCAGTGTGTAAATAATAATCAGAAATAAACGTATACCGGTTCTTAGAGTGGCCGAACTTAGAAAGACAGAGAATGGTCAGGAACAAGCCGGCGTTAGGGAAACCAGAAATTAATCACATTATTATGACCTATGCCCTAGGAAGCCTTTTTATAGTGTGTCTCTTTAATTTTATAGCCACGGCCCCAAAATGGTCAAACTCAAAATTTTTACAGGCTGTGATATCATCACATTGGCGCACATATCATGACGTTGACGCACACGCGCCGCATCATACAAGGGGACAGAGCAACAGCAGCCGGCGTTGGGACAACTGTGAAGAGGGAATATGGGAAAGGTCCCACTCCACAGGCTGGGCAACAAAAGGTACTGTGACACACACAGTAAGTATGTGATATGGATTGCTCAAGCTTGAATATAGAAATTGATTGGAGAGACTTTTTAATGAAATTAATAATGATAATGATCATCATGGCTTAAAATGTGAAATCCTATGCTACTAGCCAGGCATCAAAAGTTACTTGCCACTGCAATCAATAGTATACCCTCCAGTGGTGAGCTTCTACTCGCCAGTGCTAAACTCACTTACCCATAGCTAGTGATGAGTATAAATTTTGAGCCCTGACAATAATAATAATATTAATAACAATAGAAATTTTCCAGTAGGCAGACTTCCTGAATGCTGGAGGGGCTTCCGCCTCAATAGCCGAGTTAAGCTTGGCTATTTCAATCAGATGGTCTCCCAGAGTTTTTCTGCGCATGCGCACTGGTTTCTCAATGTTTTCCTATGGGATACATTTACACTCATAATCTCAGGCAATGAGGCAGAAGGGAAAGTACAGAGACCGGTGAGGTGAGAGCTAAAAAGTAAGTAAATCCTCACATGCCATAGGGAGGGGACTTAAGTACCGTAGGTTGTTTAAAACAATAGTGTTAATAATACATGTTTGTATTCCTGCTATAGAGTTCTTTAATGCTTATAGAAAATGTTGCTTATCCATTACTACCAATATAGCCACTATGGCTTTTTCATTTTTGTTTTTTTTGTCTTACTAATTTTGCAATAAAGTTGTATTATTTTGTTGATGCTAAAAGGGACCTTTTCTGTGTCTGGTACTCTGGTATCTTAGTCTGTTGTCAATTGACCTTGATCCAGACGCTCCTCCATGTGTAATACTGAAGTCCATTTACAGTCTATGGTCTCAATCAATGAGTTTCACCCTCACAGACTGAGGCTTTCACAAGACTAGAGATTTAAATACACCATATTTCCCCTTCTCTTACACTACTTCAGTTCCCTTTTCCACTGTCAGGAATTAAGTACCCTAACATGCAAACCTAAAGGAAACAGTTACTGGTCCTTAGAGTGGATGAGCTAGTGCCTAAGCCAGATATCTGAAATGTCTACAAGAAGAGAGTAATCGAGAAACAGGCAGAAGTCTAGGATAACAGATATACACAGAATCAATAGTCAGGCCAAGATGAGGATAACATAGAGCAAGAATGGTCAAATAAGACGAGGTCACAAAACTGTAAACCCAATATAGTCATGGCTATACTGCCCAACTTACAATTATAGGTCAGGAATATGAAGACAAAAAGGACGTATTAGCGAACCTTAGAATGGCTAGGTTTAACCCATAAAAGAGAGAAAGCGAAAACTTAACATTAGTCAAGATTAGGATACCAGAAATACGGAAATACAATATAACTAGGCAGGTCAGGATTACAGAGGTCAGGAGAGTCTGTAAACAAGCCAAAATCAAATAACCAGAAAATAAGGGAACATATAACGCACTATACGAGCAACCAAGAGGAAACCATGGCAGGGCAATGACAATGGGGTTAAAACTTTATTTAAACACTGATGTGGACACTGATTGGTCAATGTCACCACTGTGACTTTAAAAATGCGTGGAGACGTGGTCACAGTGATGACATGGCACTTTCTAGAACATGAAATGACGTTAGGCATCATACCGGTATAAGTAGAGGGGTGCTACGAGTGTGCAGCGTCTCTCTTTCTATCAGGCAATTTCAGAGTATTCTCCCCCCAATCGGCGCATTCGGGAATTCTGAATTCAATCGCTGATGGAGAAGACGGACTTGAACCAGGAGGCGGTACTTCCCGAACAATGTGCACAGCGTGCTCAGGAATGTCGCAGCAGAACATTAGTCAGGCAAGTATCACGATAAGTTTGCAGTATAAACAAACTCTCAGGTAACAAGAAGCACAATAGAGAAAGGAAACAAGGAAAACCAGGAAGTATTTATACCCTATACTGCATTGTGATATCATAAGTGTGTACGCATCATCAAAACGTGCCACATAGATTGACAATAAAAAGGAGATCAATGGAAAGATTCATAATTATAAATTATGTCATAACTATGCACCAAAAAGTTAGTGAGGATTGGGGAACCTTTTGTGTGCATTGGAACACAGATGCCGCATGGCACCACAAGGGACAAGTATCCTGACATCCACATCAGTCCATTAAGCCCGATATCTCTCCTCAATATTACTAAACCTCTTCTTTATCCAACTATTTTCTATGAGTTCTATTCTACCTCTATTTGCTGTCCCACTTGTGCTATTTTCTCTCTTCCTGATAAATTCCCCCTTTTCCCTACTGGAGCTCCGACTGCATGTCTACTGTCCAACTGCATGTCCTGCATGTCTACTGTCTTATACTACTCCAGTAAAATGTTTCATATAGCTATGCTATCGTCACTAGCTGAGGCATAGTACCAGATGGTGATATCATGGCACATCAAGCATCACTGTATTCACCACTTAACTGTGCGCTTGTGCAGAGCTTCGATTTATTTTGGCCACAATGCAGTCATCGATAAATCTTCAATTCTTGAAAATTTGTTCATATGTGAAAATATGTGAAAATCACTGATTATTCGAACGTTTCAGAACGAATGTTACACAATTGGTCGCAGTGACCAAATCCTGACTCCGTTTGGCTTTAAGAAATCTGCGAATTTCCAATGCAGTCAGAATTTTGCCCTTTTTTCAGCGGAATTTTGTCCATTTGGACAAAATCTGATGTTTACTAAATAACCCTATTAGTGACAATTTACAAATGTACTATTAAATCTCAAAATGATCAATCAGTGGGTGAACTCAGAGCTCTGTGGGCTTAAATGCCTTAAGAACTTACCATCTCAGATGCATTTCTAATACTTTTGGGGGGGGGGAATTATTATGAAAGACTTACTTTCTTATTAATTTATTTGCACTGCTGGTTAAACAGTTGGCTTCATGACGCATTATTTTCCAGCATTAATTTCCTCTCTCTCTGTCTGTTTCTTTTTCAAAACTCTAAGTCTAAATTCTGCCATTCAGACAGGCTACAGAGCTGCAAATGATGGCAAAGTTCACAGCGTCTGATGTCACAGAAACTTCCTAGAGACTGAGGGGATACGAGGTAACTATCATAGCTGCTAGACCCAACAATAAAACGATTCAGTTCGACAGAGTGCTTTAAAAGACATCTGCACCAAGAAGTACTGCAAATTTAAGGGGCCTCCGGCAGAATTTATATATTATATGTGTGTATACATATATGAAAAATAATCAAACCCAATGAAAAAACTGATACTCATAAGCCATGTATATATTTGGCTTAATTCCATTTTTCATATATTTATTTTTTTCTCCATAGTTTTCTTTGGGTTCACTATATGAAAATAAAATTTCTATTAAATATATAACTATCAGCTTTGTTAGTTTCATACTTAACCCTTTGAGGGGAGATTTATGTATTGCTGAAAGGCAGTATAAGCTACTTTAGAATTTATGAAGTTAATAAAACAGAACAATGCTTTAATTCAGTCCTATGCTGTATCCTCTGCATGCAGTCCACTAATACCTGCAAGATAAAATACAGTTCTTGTACAAAATAAAAAAATAATTCAGGATGAAGAAGCACATGAGCTAAACTACAGCAATATTTGGAGCAATAATCCAGAGGAAACTAGCTGGTAGATGGATAGATAGATAGACAGACAGACAGGCGTATGCATGGTTTGATAATGGATGCTGCTTAAAGGAACACTCTAGATACAAAGTGCACACGCTTGTTGAAGTGCTTTATGTTTCTGGGTTCTGTAAATTTCTTTGACAGTTTGTAAAACTGGCAAATTTATAATTGGGGCTGGAACACCTCACTGGCTCTCATGCAGACAACCTTGAAGGTTTGCTTCTGCTTCCGTTAGCTCCACAGAGCACTTGCCTCCATCCATTCACAGTGAGCTGTCAGTGAGGTCATTGAGAAGCATAGGAAAGCCACAAGTGTGTGCGCTTGCAACTCCAGCACAGAGGATTCCCAGTGAGAAGCCTCTGATTCGTGTCTTCCTCACCAGAGACTGAAAGTCTGTGCCGGGGAAAGATGGGACATCTGGTCTGCACCTTTTGTAAGCTGAGTTTTCATATCCCCCGAAGAAAGGACGTAGAATAAAATACTTGCATGTCCACTTTGGAGGGGATATCTACTAAATAGTTAAAAATAATTATCAATCATAATTACATTAATTTTCTGCAGAGTTTTCCTTTAAGTTGGTCTGGAATTATTACGAAAGGTTATCCCCCCAGATTTTCTTAGGTTCCTGCACAGATGCATTTGTCTGACTAGCATTTGTCGTCATCTAAAAAGTTAAATAGATTAGACAGTGGGTGACCAACAGGTAGGAGGACCCCAACAGTTGCAGAACTGCAGCTCCCATGATGCTTTGACATCTACCTTCTGGTCACATCTGCACTAGGCTACTGAGAAACATAGCATCTTTAGTAATAGAGCAATAGTATCAAAAACAACTCTCTTACAGGGTCTGGTAGAAAACCAATTGAGTTCTCTCTGTGCATCATTGTGTTACATAGTTAATTAGAACATTTGTTTTGCCATACATGCCATTTGACTGTCAAAAAAGGCGTTGAAGTGTCAAAGTAATTTCCATTTTAATGCAAAAAATAAAACAGTTTCAGAAAAAATATAATAAATGGATGATTCAATGGGTTAAGTAAGTCCTGGCTACAGATGTGCTCACCAATTTTCATGCACTTACCTAGTGTAGACAGCTTCTGTACAGACTCATTGCAGGGTATGTCACATCCAGACAAGATCCCCAGAAGAAGCACCACCAGTGAGTTTATTCTATCTTCTATTCTGCCCAAGTTGGTTTTGCCATCCTCTTGAAGCTTCTGGAGCTTAGAGGTCAAAGACATGAGGTTGGACTCCACAAGGTTCAACCTGTCTGAAACAGTTTTTGGCTTTGGATTCTGCTGCTTGATGGTACCTTCAGCTCCAGATTCTTTCAGAGTCTGTTTAAACTCTTGGTGTAGGTCATGCTGTAGTTCTCTTTGCACCTCTGGGGTGGGATGCTCATCTGGAATGAGAAAATTAAGCTTGCATCCTACAGGTCCATCACAATTGGATTCTGGTGGTGGCATGGCCACAAGAAAGTCTAAGCAAGCAGGATCATCCCTTCTTTCACTGCAGTCAGGAGTTTCTAACCCAACAACTTCTAAATCTGTCAGCAGCAGTAGAAGAACCAAGAAGAGCAGCTTCTTACCAGACATCATTGCTCCAAAACTTCCACACATTCTCAAAGGAAACCTAACAGTCATTATTGGCTGGAAGAAGTAAATAATTTGTGCAAACCCAGTGCAGTTTTATAGGTTGGGAAGTATCTCTCTGTACACAATCTTTCATAGGCTGGGAAATTCACTCAAAGGATCTTCAAAGCAAATGAAGATAGTGTGTGTGAGGCATGCACAATAGAGGAGGGGGGCAGGGGGTATGCAGCTTGCAAGAGATGAGAGGAGGGACAGAATGCCTCCTAAGATGAACACTTGAAACTCAGATTAGCATCTTACAGCCCATTGAAACAGCTCTCTGTGGCTGTGTCTAGGTAAATGGAACATTAAGTTAGACACTTTGTTTGCCTGCAAAGACATGACAAGATGGACTAGGCAGCTTTCAAGGGTAATGTTAATAGTATGTGTATTTGTGTACTGGACTCTAAAAGGGGTTTTGTAGGAAGCACAAGAATTATTGACATACTTTCTTTACTCTTGAACTTCCACTTACAAGTATGTGTTAAAGTGTTTCTTTTTTTTCCACCTTTAGCACACACACGGCTCACTGTGTGATCTCAGGTGCTGACATAAAATTCAGATCTCTGCAAGTTGGAAATTAACTTTCATCTAGTTTTGAAACAAATTTCGGAATAGATTCTTCTTGAATGTGAGATAAATAAAGCACTTGACAATATTAATTAGAAAAAACAAAGTATACTCACCTAAGAAACATTTATTCGTTCATATTTCAAATCTTTCATTGGACTCAAATGATTCTTACAATAGGACCTCTTCATAGATTTGAAGTGGTCATGGTGCTAGGAGTCTGTATGTGCAGCATTAGAGATTAACTCCGGAGCTGCCAGATGTGTAACTCCACCTCCAAAAGCGCATTAGCCAGACCAAAATGGGGCTGGCTAATGTCAATTCAGTGCAAAAATGGGGTCTATGGATGCTCTCACCAATGTGCTGCCCTTATCATCAGCTCAGTTCACTTAATTTTATTATTATAATTTTTTTTTTGGGGGGGGGGAGGGGGGCAGGAGAGGGGGCAACCACCACAGGAGGGGTTAATAAACATGCAAACTGCTTCATGTAAACACTTGTTTTTTGGTTAGAGTGAACATTTAAGTGTTCAGTCCATATTATATCATTTTAAAGCACAGACAAGTGCAAATAAAGTAAAAAAAAATAAATAAAAAAACAGCCAGTTTCACTTATCAGTCCTGGTTCTTAAAATGTCTCAAATATATAGGATTGTAAAAAGGAGTAGCCCCCATTCCCAGGATGTTAAACTAAAAGCATCTTGACATGTTTAATCTAGCAATTTTATCACAAACCTCTGACAAATTTTTTAGTTAATTTTTATTTATTTTTTTAGAGTTTTTCACGTTTAATTTTTATGAGAAATTTTAGAGACTCTGTGTGTCTTTTTACTCCAGACTGCAGATTTTGCTGAATATTTAAAAAAAAAAATATTTTGCTGCATAATTTCAAAAGTGTTCATGTTTGTAGCGAATGTAGGTTCAAATTACAGATATGCCTTCATTTTTTCATACCTCTCAGCTTGCTTCACAGAGACTTCAACACTTGCTAACACTAACTAACCCTAATTCTTGCTAATCCTAACCTAAGATAACTTTAGTTAAACCTAGCTAACCGTACTGATAGCCAACCACAATCTTCGCCTAGCTAACCATAATTAAAACTAGCCCTAACCTTGAAAGGACATCCTGCTAGGTCAGTAGGATGTAAATAGTTAAATTATTGTATCAGTACAGAGTTTCCAGAAAATGAGACCATGCAAGTTTGTCAGTGTTGGACGTGTACCCTCAGTTTGAAGTCACTGGAAATATAAAGGATGTGGCACTGCAGCATCTTGTGTCAAAATTAACACAAGGCAGTATATCAGTGTCAGCAGTGATGAGAGGAAGTTGAATGATCACTAGTTATCAGCCATGATGGCAACAGGTATCATACCCGTTGGCTTCAGGAGGGAGCAGGAGTGACAGCTATACATAGCTTTCTTGCAAGAACACTTTCATCCAATGAGTTTACTGAGGTTCATAAATAACAGGGTACTTATTGCGATCCAAAACTAGAAGAAATAATTAAGTAACCCTTATGAGCATGGAGTTCACAAGAGCTTCACAGGTTGCCATTAGAGTCCTCTTCCACTCCTCCATGACAACATCACAAAGCTGGTGTATGTTAGAGACCTTGAGCTCCCCCACCTTCCGTTTGACGATGTCCCACAGATGCTCGATAGGGTGTAGGTCTAGAGACATGCTTGGCCAGTCCATTACCATCAGCTTCTTTAGCAAGGCAGTGGTCATCTTTTATATGTGTTTGGGGTTGTTATTATGTTGGAATACTGCCCTGCAGCCCAGTCTCCGAAGGGAGGGGATCATGCTCTGATTCAGTATGTCCCAGTACATGTTGGCATTCATGGTTCCCTCATTGAACTGTAGCTACCCAGGGCTGGCAGCACTCATGAAGGCCCAGACCATGACACTCCCACCACCATGCTTGACTGTTATCTTGGTCTCATTGGACCAAACGACATGGTTTCAGTAATCCATGTCCTTACTCTGCTTGTCTTTAGCAAACTGTTTTCGGGCTTTCTTGTGCATCATCTTTAGAAGAGGCTTCCTTCTGGGACGACAGCCATGCAGACCAATTTGATGCAGTGTGCGGCGTATGGTCTGAGCACTGACAGGCAGACCCTTCACCCCTTCAACCTCTGCAGCAATGCTGGCAGCACTCATACATGCACACATGCACTCAAATTCTTTGGTCGCTGTAGGGTATTGCCCACCGTGGTACAGCTCAGTTTCAGGGTCTTGGCAATCTTCTTATAGCCTGCATCATCTTTATGTAGAGAAACAATTATTTTTTTCAGATCCTCAGAGAGTCCTTTGTCATGAGGTGCCATGTTAAACTTCCAATGACCAGAATGAGAGAGTGTGAGAGCGATAACACCAAATTTAACACACCCGCTCCCCATTCATACCTGAGACATTGTAACACTAACGAGTCACATTACACTGGGATGGGAAAATGGCTAATTGGGCCCAATTTTGACATTTCCACTTAGGGGTGTACTCACTTCTGTTGCCAATGGTTTAGACATTAATGGCTGTGTGTTGAGTTATTTTGAGGGGACAGCAAATTTACAATGTTATACAGGCTGTACACTTACTACTTTACATTGTAGCAGTGCGTAATTTCTTCAGTGTTGTCACATGAAAAGATATAATAAAATATTTACAAGAATGTGAGGGGTGTACATACTTTTGTGAGATACTGTATATCACCTACACATACCGAAAGAAAATATATAGAGAAAAAACGGGATGCAGCTGTATATCTAAAATAATAAAATAACAATATATAGCAACATATTGTTTTACACTATACTGGTTGCACTCACAGAAGTATTGAATATGAAAGCACCTCTGTCCTTCTTGTCAACAAATCAGGGAACCAGACAAGTTTATATCCAGAAGGTGTTATTAAAAAAAAGGGGGGCAACACAGCAACTGTCTAAATCAGGGGTTGGGAACCTTTGTCACTCCAGATTTTGTGGACTACATCTCCCTTGATGCTCTGCTAGCATTATGGCTGTAAGAGAATTATGGGAGATGTAATCCAAAAAATCTGGAGGGCCGGAGAGTCCCCACCCCATCTAAATGCAAACTTGCTAGAACGTTTTATAAGAGGGGGTTGGAAGCTTTAATGAGACACAGGGCCTAGGTGCAAATGCATCTACTTTACTACAACTGCAGTGCATGTAGGAAGGAAAAAGGATAGGGGCAATGTGATGTCACAAACACAAAAATGAGTCCAACACTAATGAGTCATATGTTTCCTGTAAAGTAGTAACGGTTGCACTTAATGTAGTGTATATCTCAATCAAAGTGGCAGATGATATACATACCATAGCATTTTGGCTAAATAAGTTCCAAAATGCAATGAATTATCCAGGCTGCATTAGCATATGTGCGGAATCACTGAGGATTATGGGTAAAAGCATGCCATCTAGTTTATATATTATAATGATAGGAGATCCACTTTAGAGGACTTGGTGAAATAATGACATATTAAGACAGCTTCTCAAGCAGTTTCTACAGTTTAGTCAGTTTGCAGAGTTTATGGTTCCAGAAGTTCCCCTGGTGCATTCCCACAGCTTAACATTTGAAAACGTTTTGACACTTATCCAAGTCCCCTGAACAACTGTGGTCCAGCTACCTATTCAGAAGATATAGTTAAATTGGAAGTTCACCGTCCACATTAGAATTAATTCCATCTAAAGACATTGCTTTCATGGCAATGGCAGTGGTCTCCTTCGGCAGGATAATGCAACCTGCCACAGTGCAAAAATTGTTCAGGAATGCTATGAAAAACATGACAAAGGAGTTCAAGGTGTTGCCTTGGCCTCCAAATCCCCAGAACTCAATCCAATTGAGCATCTCTGGGTTGTGCTGGAACAATAAATCCATGGAGGCCCCACCTCGCAACTTGCAGGAGTTAAAAGACCTGCTGCTAATGTTCTGGTGCCATATACCATAAGACACGTTCAGAGGTCTTGTGGAGTCCTTGCCTTGATGCGTCAGAGTTGTTTTGGCAGCACAAGAGAGACCTACACAATATTAGGCAGGTGGTTTTAATATTGTGGCTGATCAGTATAGCATTCTCTTTATTTTTATTCAGACCCCCTCCTCCTCTAAATTTAAATAAAAACTGGAAAATAAAGGATATTACATACCATTTTTCCAGAGTGGAGACACTACTCTTTTGTCCAATCTCTATGAGGAGCATTGGAGACAAAAGGTGCATGCACGACCAGCACTGCATTTCTCCAGTGAAATGAATAATATGTATTTGACTTGGTTCTAACAGAGGAAGTGCCTCAAGTGGCTGTCAGGTAGACATCAACTAGAGGCGTAGTTAACCCTGCAAGGTAGGTATTGTCATTTTCTACCAAAACGCAATGCTTTACATTGCAGGGTTTATTTATTTTTATTTTTGTTGTTGTTCACAAAGGTTTATTATTCACAAAAGAAAGTAATCAGTTTCACTGTGGGGGCTGCTGTCCACGACCACGTCCAAATCCTCCTCTAAACTGAAATTCTGTTGCTGCTCCAGCACCAGCCTCTGCCTTCTTATCTGCCCCAGGTGGAGCAGCACTACGTCTGTATGTATCTCTGTCAGTCTCACCACGGGACAATCTGGCAGGTCTCTCGCCTTCTAGACCTTTAGGCCTGGGTCGGCCAGTTTCGGGACGACTTCTCCTCAATGTTGCAGGAACAATCTCTGGGGTACATTGCAGGGTTTAAACTAAACCACTGCACCCAAACAACTTAAGGGTATAGTGACTGTGGGCCATCACTGGACATATCTGCACATCTGGTACCCAGTGTAAAAAAAAAGAATATAGCAATGAGAACCTAAAAAGCTGCCAGCCATATGGATGCAAACCTATCCTGTGACAGGATGACAGTTCCAAGAAGTGGACTCTCGCTGTGTTCATAAAACGAGTTGCTTGATAAATTGCTAAGTCTTCAATCAGCAGGGAAAGTAGGGCACCTGGAAAGGTGGCTCTCTCTCAGTATCTTTAATCATCTTGCTTCCTCCCACACCTGAGGAACAAAGCACGGCCTAATCTCCAGGACATACCTTCCCATTGTGATACTCGGCTTTCATCTTCAAGGGAATCTGTCTGTGTTGATACCTTGACTATAAAGACTGCACCTCTCCAAGGGAGGATCTTTAACTCTTTAGAGTCTCATATAAAGCAGATCCCAACGACTGGCTTTTATTTATAAATGTGCATGATTTCATGTTTTTGAATGTTCCTGTGGGATCCACATACAAAAAAAGGATAAAAAATATATATTTTTTAACCAGTTCACTAGTTCATTAATGTTTATTTATTAGCATTTATTTGAGAGATGGAATGCATAGCATGAAAATAAAAATAGGTTAAAACATGAGTTACCTGCATAGATATAGAAAGATTTGACTTAATTGTTCATCTTTTACAGAAATAGTAGGCGAGATAACATGCTTTATACAGTAACCCTCGGCTTGCAATATTTCAGACAAAACTGAAACAAATATTTTAGACAGAAAAGACTTGAAAGAAAAGAAACACAAGTACAGCATTTGTCATATACCTGTAAGTGTAACAATAATTTAAATGCAGCTTTTCTAAAATACCACCAGAGTATAAAAAGAATGTCTGTATGTGGGGGGCAGAGTTTGGATGCCGAGTGGATCAGATGTGCATCGCATGAGCTCCACAAACCAGGACAAATAAGCAAAAATAATCTCAGGTCGCTGGCTAATCTGGACTATTACCGGTAAGCACCCAGTCAAGGAGACGACGGTGCATCCAAAGATAGTAAGCCCGGGCACTTAAGCCACTGGAACGCCGACATTGCGGCTTGCGGCCTACACAAGCATGGGCAGAGGAGAGACGGCCACTCTTCGAGCCCCTCACCCGGTGGAGTGAACCCTGACCCGAGCTGTCGCCAGCCCTTTGGACAGATGGGGGTCATCCCGGTCTACCCCTGCCATACTCCACATAACGTGCTGGCTACAAGCAGCTGCTTCGAAACGAACCCGAGTTACTGCTGCCACGCTTAAAATGGCGGCCATGCAAGGCACAAACAGCGAGGACCCTACAAGACCCATTTGAATGTCTACTCTATAATGTTGATATGCTCTTCACAAGCTTCTGGGCAAAATTGGAGGCCCGTGGTACGGAGAAGCTGCACCAGAATCAGGTTGAGGAGCACAGTAGAGATCAGCGGGAGTTGAGCTGATCCCCTCTGGATGCAACCCCTCATCAAGCGCATGGCACTGTTCATTTAGGCCCGCCTGGGCAAAAGACCACCGGGGATACCATACTCATGCATATGCCACAGAGGCTGAATAACCACCACCGATGGCGGCGACGCACCACCGAGAGTTTCAGCCGTCCCTCGTTTAGGAAAGACTTGGCCTTGTGTCGGAGAACCCGAATCTGTGGTCCCGTGATGCCGGTATTCCACATAGTTCAGGGCTGTACCCTAACGTTGAAATGTCTGCTAATATGGCTCCGTGTGTTTATGTTTTCTTTTCTGTGTTTTTTACTCTCTATTTTCAACAACGACTATACTTATGATTTAACTAGGCTTCTAGTTCAAACATGGGCAATGCAGCTGTTACGCTAGGAGTGTGGCCTCGGGGGTTATTTTCAGTTATCGCCTTGGCGCAGTTCAGAAAGTTCTACTACTTATTCATGTAACTGTAGCATGTGACAGGTGGGATAGATGTCACTGTAGCCATAGCTAATTACTACCTCCTTACCCTCCAAGCAATAGGGATGTTAGCTGCACGTTAAGCTTTTTACTTACCCACGTTGACATTGTACTGCAGCAAACTGCTCCCTACGTGCTAAACAGGTTACTGTTACCACCACCACCTCCAAAAAAAAAAGTGCTGAATACTCGTGTGCCCTAAACTGTTTCACTTTGTATTTCAATTCTTGTGCCATTGTTGTTGGGGCAGAGCAAGTTTGTATGTTTATCCAACGCAAAAAATAAAATAAAAGTACATTTCAAAAAGAATGACTGTATCTGTGCTCACATGCATGACCTGTCTTTGTCTTTTATCTCTATTATATAAGGTAGAAGACATGCCCTACAACAGAGGTAGGCAACATTTGGCACTCCAGCATTTGGCAAAGCATGTCCCCTGATGCTCTGTGAGCATTATGGGAGGTGTAGTCCATAGCTGGAGTCCTAAAGGTTCCCTAGCCCTGCCCTACATTGGACTCTGATCCATCCATCATTCATGCTAAACTGATAGCTTTTTGATTTCTGAGCCTTTTTAAAATCCATTTAGCAAAGAAGAGGAGGCTCAGAGCTGTATGGGTGGGCTGTGTGTTGTCTGTGCGGTGACTGAATTTAGTGTGTATTGGAGTCTGATTGTGGCTGAACGTTGTGTGTGTATGTTTTGTCTGCCCATTTGCCCCTTGCTTACCTGGTAGTCTAGTGGAGGGTGGACTGGAACCCTAGTAATCGGGTTGGGGAGCTCCATCATATGCACCAATATACACTTAAGACCACTTTCAGAGCACCCTCGTGGTTCCGGCAATCAGTCAGTGACTCTTAAAGTGCTCTGAATCTAATATTGATACATACCACAGCACTTCCTCAACAAAGTGAGGGAACAGAGCTGTGCAGGGAGTTTTTTTTTTTATCTCCCTGCTGGCTCGAAGAGGGCCAGCTCCGAGCCTGATCAGGCCCAAATGGCTGCCTTGATTGCCTAATGAGCAATCTGGTTCTAGTGTGTGGGTTGGCTATGTGTGATTGTGTGGTGGTTGGCTGAGTGTCAGGTTTGCTTAGTGTGATTGTGTTTGGGGTTAGCTGAGTGTGATTGCTTGTAAAGGGGGTGTGTTGATAATGGGAGGATAGAGAGAAAGAGCGGGAGTGATGGGAAGGTGGATTGGAGGGGGCGTAACAGAAAGATAGGCGGGAGAGATGGGAATGACGGGAGGCTACAGTGGGTGTTGGGAGCATTAAGATAGATGGGAGTGATGGAGGATAGAGAGGGAAATATTGAAGTAATGGGAGCATAGAGATGGATGGTTGTGGTGGAAGCATAGGGATGGCTTGGACTGTTGGGAGAATATGAAGAGAGTTAGGATAGGGAAGGATGATTTGGAGTGGGAGGACATGGACAGAGGGAATAAAATGATGGGAGGAAAGGAGTGCCTGGGAGCAATGGGAGAGTTGGGAGATATCAAAGGATGGAAAAGTGTGATTGAGGACAGGGAGGGAGGGATGAATTAAAATGATAGGAGGACAAGTAGGGTTGTATTGGAGGATGGGAGGGTTGTAGCCAGGGATGTGTGGATTGGATTGATTGAAGGTTAGGGAGGCAGAGATTGGAGTGATGGAAGCATAGGGTTGCCTGCAAGAGATGGAGATAGCGAGGAAGGGATTGTAGTTATGGGAGGACATGAAGAGAAGGATGGAATGGAGTGATCTGAGGACAGAGAGAGATGGGAGTGATGGGAGCATAGCCGTGAATAATAGGACAGAAACAGAGGGGTGATGGGAGATTTTAGCTCAACCTGGTACGTTTAAGAGGGAACAGGAGCTGTGCTATGTGTGCTGTAGACCTCTAGTAAGTGGGGCCTGATGGTTGAAGAGGAAATGTTGTGTTGTCATATCCCCACCCACTACAAGGTCCTCTCACACGGGAGAAATTGTGGGAAATCTGTGGAAGGCATGGTCCTGTCAGTAGATAATCCTGTGTATTTCCCTTGCTTCTAGTACTATTGGACAACAGTCTCAGAGTTGGAGTTAGACCTCTTTAAAGTGGTTGTAGTTTCCCAAATACATGTATCTATAGGTTTATGTTTTGGAGCAGAACATGGCACTGGTTTCCATGGTTGCCCCACTTTTCTTTTTTCAACAGAATACAGAAATATGATTTGAATTGTATTATTTTTCTATTAAAACAATTTTACACTTCTCCTAAAAAAACAACCCAAAGTAAATACAGAAAAGCTTCGCCTTTGTCTAACACAAATGGACAACTTTGTGTTGATCTCATTTAAATATTGGTTATCTAATCTGACACATTTCTTTGAACTTTGTGGATTTCTTTCAACATCGCTATGAAATATGTTGGAACTGTGTACTAATAATAAATGAAATGCATAACTGGTCCCACATGAATGTAGACATAAATGTAAGTGAGGGTTAAAAGGAAAGACCATAACAGAGTATGTTTCAACTTTTCTGTAAAACACAGCAAATTTGCTGTCTTGGGAGGCCTCTTATATAAACTGCTACAGAGTGCCTCTTGACCTGTCAGCAGACCCTTGTTTGTCTTTTTAGACATGGAACAAATACAAAGTAAATCAAAGCAAAGCTGAGTGGAGATATTACAAGAGAAAGCTCAAAGGACCTGCCAGCTCGGAGGAAGTTTGAGTTAGATAAAAGGGAAACTTCAAAAAATGCCATGACGGACAAGGCAAAGGAGATGCAAGAGTTTATCAAAGACCTTCGCCAACAGTCCACCTCGACTCTTAACAGACAGCCTAACACACGAACAAGTCTGTCAGTAGGCCAACTCTTCAAGGACAAAAAAAAAATAAAAAAATCTATTTTCTCCTATGAAGCAGAGAAAATTAATTGTCATATATTTTACTTTAATATTATTTTGGTGGAATGGACCAGTAGGATATATATATTTTTTTATTTTGTTTCCTTGTAATAAACGTTTGTTTGTTTTTGTCCAAGGCTTTGAATTGATTTGTTTATTAATCCTAC